GTATTGATGTTTATTTATGTCTTCACAATCTACAAGGTGATCATGAAAGATTTAACTCCATCTAAAAAATCAGTAATTTAACCATTTTTCATAAATGGGAAAGAATTTTTCCGTAATTTATATTGTATGGTGAAATAAAATGGTCTCTTTTTCTCTACCAGTTATTTCTTTCGCATATTTTGTTAGCTTTTGAAACATATTTGTAATTATATTCTAAAGCTACTGAGACTAGCATCTACAAAAATTATTTATTAGGAATAAGAAAAAAAGAAAATTTAATTTTATGCCGCATTTAAAAATACCAATATTTTAATAATTTAGCAAACCCTTTCCAGAAGCTTGCTATAAGTTACAAGTCCCCCTCCTAAAAAAGAGGATTAAAGTCAGGCCTTAACAGAAGTTTATAATAGGAAAAATAAAAAAACTTGGGAATTTATTTGAATGCCATGGAGTAAACTCCTCTATTGGATATATTTCCTTATTTTCCTTAATTTAATTCAAATGCATATGATAAGAAAAAGGGGATAAGAAGGAAATTTGAAATGCAAAAAAAAAAAAATTAGTTTGCCCTATGTGAGGAAAATGAAATTAATTGCAACTGTCATTTGTTAGCAATATTTTCTCTCTCTCTCTTGCACATACATCCAAAACATGCACACACACAGATAAAAAATAATAAATAAATAAATATAAATAAAATAATAAAATATACCCACCACCATTTATTTTATACTTTACAAGTTTGCTTCAATTTCACTTTTAATATATTAAAAAAATTTTCAAATATACAAATTCTATTTTTACACACAGGCTAATTGAAAAAGGTGGAATGCACAAAAAAAGTATATACAGTCAAAAGTCGTTAATTCGGACCTCAAAGCTAAAAACTTTCTGCGCATGTGTCGCGTTTACGTATGCGCATAGGCGTTTACACGTGCGCATAAAACCTTTACGGCTGCGAATATACGTGTGCGCATGCGTATTATACGTTTACACATGCGCGTTTAATGTATAACGGACAGTATAAGCTAAGCTAAAATTATCTAATTCAGCTAATGTCGCAGATTGCGTTGTTCCTTAATTCAAATTGGATCCGGCTTATTATTTTTTGCAGACTGTTAGAGCAATTTTATAAAAGTAAGCTTGAACTTTCGATTATGTCAAATAGAATTTCCGATATATATTTACTAATATGTAAAGGATCTACAAAACGAAAGTATGTTTCGATGTCCATTAAACAGAAAGTGGAATTGCTGCAAAAAATGGATAAAGGCATATCCTTTGATTATCTAATCATTCCGAAATATGTTTATCAATTTCACGCTGCTCTGCGGGGGAAGGGAAACAACGTGGCGTGCAATGAATTGTACGTTGATCTGTCAGCACTATCCTCATCTTCAGGGCAGATGTTTTTATTATATTTGGCTTATAATTCTTTACTAAATGTAGTATTTCATCTCGATGTACTCGGTCTTTGATATCATTTAAATCAAGTTCCTCGTCCTTATAATTCGCTTCCGATAGTAAAGAAAGTGACACAGAGATTATTGAAAACGAAAAAATTTCGATTGACAAATTAGTCGGTATTCTCGACACAGCAATTATAGGACTTGAACAGTGGAACTTTGTAACTAAACAAGAAATTATATCTGTTTAATAGAATTAAAGAGAAAGTATTATCACATGAAACGAAGCAACTTAAACAACTTACATTGAAAGAAATACTAATTCAGAAGTCAAACAACAAAAATCAGCGTTATATTTACAAAATTTTCACGGGACTAGTTTCGATGGTTTTACCGAACCACCATCTTCAGCTGCAAAACCGCAAATGAACAAGATAGGAAATAATGATTAGATAAGATAAGAAAACCTGGACAAGAATAAGCAAGTGGCACCATCTGTTGGTGAAACCAGAACTAAAAACATAATTTCTTTAAAGGCCGAAGGCAAATTTGGATTGGAATTAGGATCGTTAACTAGAACAGAAAGATTTTTATGAATGTGAAATGCCTCTAGAAAATCCAGTTCTCCAATGGAAGATGTTTTTTGAATAATTTTGGCAGCAGAAAAATTGAAAGTGTGATTTTCGGACCAACAATGTTGAGCAACAGAAGAAGACTTCTGTGTTTCCTTTTTTCTAACATATGCCTCATGTTCTTGACGCGAAATTTTAAGGCTCTCTTAGTTTGGCCAATGTAAATTAAACCACACTGGCAAGGAATCCTATAAATACCCCAGGAATTCATATCCGGAATGGGGTCCTTGAGTATAGAAGTTGGAATTTTATTGATGGGAGAGTAAACAACCCGAAAGTTAAATTTCTGCAAAATATGTGCAACTTTATAGCTAATTGATGGAAAGAAGGGAATGACAACAGAATTTTTATAATCTCCTAAAAACAAGAGTGTGGCTTTTAGTAGTGTGTTGAGATGAGAATTTTTTAACTGCTTGATTAATAATGTTGGGTGAAAAGCCCCTGTCAATAGCTATTGCTTTTAAATAATTTAGTTCTTCATCAAGGGCTAGTTTGGAGGAGCAAACTTGAAGAGCACGGAAAAACATAGGAATAAAATGAAGCTAACTTTTGTTTAGTCGGATGACATGATTTAAAGTGTGGTGGAAGGCAAACCGATGAAGGTTTACGGTAAACTGTAGTACTGAAGTTGGATGTGTTACGTGTGACCAGAATGTCGAGAAACGGAAGAGAATTGCAAGTCTCAAGTTCAAAAGTGAACTGAATAGCAGGATCAATAGAATTCATTGTTGAAAGAACTTTATTTAAATCATCTTTATTACCTTCAAACAGGGTAAAAGTATCGTCTACGTAGCGGAACCATGCCGGGAAGTTTAAAGTTTCAAACAATTTTGATTCATAATAATGCATGTAGATATCAGCCAGGATGGGACTGAGGGGGCTTCCCATGGCTAATCCTCAGTTTGCTTGTAATATTTATTTTGGAAAACAAAATGTGTTTGTTTCAAACAGAGTTGAGTGAGAGAAATTAGCTCATCAATTTCGATGCAAGAGAAATGAAATTCGCGAAGTCTGGTTTCTAGACATCTTAATGCACCCTCCACTGAGACATTGGTGAATAATGATTTTACATCAAAAGAAACCAGGAGTAATTTACTAGGAGAAATGTTTTTAACTTTTTTTACAAACTCTATTGAATTTTTTATGGTGTAAATGTTATTGTCTAATAGAGTTGAAAATCTAGACACTAAATATTTAGCTAATGGATACGAGGCAGTACCTAAATTTGATACAATAGGGTGGGAAAGGAATACCACTTTTATGAATTTTGGGAAGAGCATATAATTTGGCACAATTCGCAACAGATGGGATAAGCGAATGTTTTAAGTTGCTTGAAATGATTTGCGAAGATTTGATCGCAGTTTTTATTTTTGACAAGTCCGAAGGTGAAGGATCTTTAGGGATCGGATTATATGGTCCTTCGTTTAAGAGTTTAGTGACACCATCGATGTAAGTGTTCCTATCCATGACGACTATCTGGTCACCTTTGTCGGCCTTTGAAATAATAATATCCGGGTTAGAATGAATTTCACGCAGTGTAGCTCTTTCTCTCGCAGTTAGATTTGGTTTCAAAGGTTTATTATTGAATTTCACATTATGAGCGATAAGATGCCTAATCATTTCTTTCTGTGAATCTGAAACTTTACTGAACTTGAAAGCTTTTTCGAGAAGCATTTCACATTCATAAAAATCTTTCTGTTCTAGTTAACGATCCTAATTCCAATCCAAATTTGCCTTCGGCCTTTAAAAAAATTATGTTTTAGTTCTGGTTTCACCAACAGATGGCGCCACTTGCTTATTCTTGTCCAGGTTTTCTTATCTTATCTAATCACTATTTCCTATCTTGTTCATTTGCGGTTTTGCAGCTGAAGATGGTGGTTCGGTAAAACCATCGAAACTAGTCCTGTGAAAATTTTGTAAATATAACGCTGATTTTTGTTGTTTGACTTCTGAATTAGTATTTATTCAGCGTGTTATTGTGTCTTAATTGAAAGAAATAAATATTTAGCTAAAGAAAGTAAACAAATAAATATTTAGCTTTTTCTTTTTGTAAATCTTGATATCCTTTAGATCATAATTGCTCTTTATTTCATATATTATGGTTTCATATTTTTAATTTTATAATTTCTGCATGCCATCTTAACAGATTTAAACTGATGATCTATAATCCGGAAAAATCGATTATCCGGAATCGCCGAAGTCCCAACGAGTCTGGATTAACGACTTTTGACTGTAGTACCTATGAAGAAAGACAACTGGTTTCAGTTGTGAAAAGTTAGCACAGAAAACAAAATGATTGCTGCCAAATAAATCTCAGTCAATTTTTAAATATTTAAATATATTTTATTGCAAAAGCTTAAAAAGATAAATGAATATATATAAGAGCGATTATCCTCTTGGAAAATGAGTATTCACTATTAAAATTATAACACTTTAACTAATTAGTGGCATGTAAACGTATTCAAAATAGAATATGTTTAGTGTTACTTTTATGTAACTATACTTTTCATATAAACTTATCACTTTAATGCCACATTTTCCATGAGCAATATTATTTTTTTAACATATTAAAACTGTTAAGATATCAGTGAATAAACAAGAAAATTATTTTATTTTGGAAGCTTTAGTGCTCAACATGTGTATTTTTAAAAATAAAATACAAAAAATTAGAATGTAAATAGCATTTTTACAATATACCAAAAGTTTTTTTTTTTTTTTTTTTTTTTTTTTTTTTTTTAAGTGGTACTTTTTTAAATTAAATGAGGAAGGGGGTGGTTAAAAGGGCTGCCAGATCAAAAGTAGACTAAAAGGAAATTGGATTGTTCTTCCATTAAACTTTGTTAAATCTAAATAACATAAACAAAAAGATGCATAAAAAGGGAACTGGGCACATATTAACTGTTATAAAATAATATGAAAAGACCTACATCAGTATGGGATAACAACAATAATGCATACTTACACAGTTTTCTTCTTCGAAGTTTCACCAGGAAGATTTGGAAATCGAATGATAAGCTTGGCACCACCTAACTCAAATCCCTAAAAAAGATTAAACATTTAGGAATATAGTAATTTGTTTTAATACTATTCCATTCACATAAAGATGAATGAAACAGACGAGGGAAAAACATGAAATTAGAGCAGGAGCTACTGAATTTTGACAGAAAATTACAAAATTTCACTTGCTGGATTTTTTTAGTAGTTTAACTAATTACACGTATATTTTAAATAGCTATAACTGGTCATAAAACAGTTTAAAATTTAATTATTCTTGTTTTACAACATGTACTGGCTACGTGCATTTAAAATTTTAAATATTCAGTACTCATATTACTATTCCTACTCTTACAGTTACTATTAATTTCTTCTTATTATAGTTATAATAGAATTGTTTCACATAAATGTATTAAAAAAGGCTAAAAGGAAAGAAAAGGACACTCGGATTTTAAAGAATTTCAAGTGTATTTAATAAAAAAGACATGACCTAAAAGACAATTAAATTTACAATATTTACTCAAAAATAAGACCCAATTCTAGAATTTCCACTAAAATTCAGTAGTTTTAAGTAGAATTCAGGTTTGTAGTAGTTTAACTTCCCTTCTAATTTTCAATAAGAAAACTGAATATTTTCCCTTCTTTATTATACATAATTTCTGTACCAAATTCAAAATTTTTATAAACCTGTTAAAACGAATAAATAATAATAGTTTTCTAATTGTAAGCCTAAAGTTCATCCCTAACGCTGAAGATTTATTGTTATATAATACACTGGTTATCATAAATTAAGGAAAAATCACAAAAATCAGGATTAGTAAAAAAGTTACAGGTAGAATTTTATGAAACTTGCCCACAATATACAACACATAGTAAGGTATCAAATAACATAAAAATAAATTACCAGGCAATATGGTAGTACAGAAAGTAGCACATGTATAAAATGAACAAATCACAAATCGAAGGTGTCAGTTTGCTATAGAAGTACCTTCAATAGGGAATATGGTCGCCTCTAGAAGCAACACAGCACATACAGTGATGCATGATGCTTTCAATTATGTGGTCTATCAGTTCCATAGGAAGTGAGAGCCATTGCTCTTGCAAAGCTGTTGCAAGGGCGGCAAGGGCGGCAAGGGTCTGAGGGGGCAGATTGAGAGCAGCTAGACGTCTCTCTAATCTCTAAACTTCATCCCAAACGTGCTCGATAGGATTCAAGTCCGGGGATCGAGCTGGCCACAACATGTGCATAATTGTTTCCTGTTGAAGATAATCATCTACGATGCGAGCCCTGTGTGGTCTTGAGTTATCGTCCTGTGTAACAGGAAAGCATCACCTATTGCCCCGGCACATGGGCGCACATAAGCATCAAGGATGTCATCTCTATAAACCGGCGTATTCACGGTTTCCGTTGGAAAGACATGGAGGTCTGTGCGTCCACCCAAAGAGATGCCACCCCAAACACAGACACTGCCTCTTCCGTATGCATCTCTTTAACGGATGTTTGACGGATGATAACGGGTTCCAGGTTCTCTCCATATCAAATAACGCCTACTATCGCTTTCTAGACTAAACCTGGACTCATCCGTAAAGAGAAACAGCCCTCCACTGATCAAGCGTCCAGTGGACATGTTGTCGTGCCTACTGCAAACGGTCCCTCCTATGGCGTGACGTGAGCGGCACGCAAATGGCTGGTCGTCTCGCATACAGACCACCTTCGTGAAGCCTTTCTACGCACAGTTGACGTTGACAACAACCCTCCGGTGGCTGCAGCAAGGGAGGATCTAAGAAGAGTCGGAGTAGCGGTTCTATTCCTGCGTGCACATAATGTCAAATATCGGTCATCAGCGCTCGTCGTAGCAGTTGGCCGTCCTTGGCTGAACCTCCTAGAGGCCGAATCTGTGGTTTGAAATCGCCTCCAAAGTCTATGAACCACAGAAGGACTCACATTTAGCCATCTGGCCACTTCTGTTTGACTTTATCCTGCCTCTAGTCTCCCAATGGCTCTCCATCGCAGTTTTGCAGGCAAATGATGCCTGGAGGTCATTGTTACGAATTGGCTATCTCAGATTTCTGATATCACTATCACAGTGAAATATGTGGGTTTGCTCTCAAACATATTTTCCTTGACGCATTCCAAGTGCAGCACCACTAATTTGCATATTGCAGTTTTACTCAGCTACTCTTACTTGCAACATATTCAAATTTTACACGGTTTGGCTTATTTTTTAGGGAGTTATTGCTATTTTTGTGATTTTTCCTTAATTTATGATAACCAGTGTATATCAAGAGATCAATGGTGTGTAGTTAAATTATTGCACTATGTTCATAATAATAAGAATAATGAAACAAAAAAGAAAAAAAGTGTGTACCTGAATGAAAGTTAAAAACTACAAGAAAATTTAAGTTATAAACCTTTATTACTTAATTTTTATAACCTTTCACAGTATGGAATTTTCAAAACAGTTACCTAAATGTAGTGAACCGTTCTCTGGACATGTTAAAAATGATTCAATTATATATATATATATATATAAGAAATAACAGAAATGAGACTGCAGTTAAACCTCCGAATTTATACAGAATTAATACATATCTCCACATTAACATTCTAACACACTTTAAGATATATATATATATATATATATACACACATATGCATATATATATATATATACACACATATGCATATATATATATATATACACACATATGCATATTAAAGGAGGCAACATTATATAAAATTATTACCTGATATTCTTTCATGGCTTTTCCAGGTGAAGAAATACTTTTGAAGTTTACAAAAGCACAAAATTTTTCTGGCATTATTTTCAAAGATAAAATTTCACCAAACCTAGAAGCATTATTATTAAAATTTAACATGTGAAAATGTAGCACAGAAAGTTACTGAAATATAAGCATCTGTTTCATGTGAAAGAAAAAAGGTGTTTTATGTAACAGATTTTTCACAATATCCTTGAATAAAAGGCAAGAGATACTCAACCACTTATTTTTACACAACAGTACAATATTACTCATACAAGAAGAATAAATAAACATTTAGATAAGCAAAAAGGCTGGTTTTTCATTACGCATATGGAAAGCCATGAAAATTCAATACAATTAGTTCATTCAACTGCTGGTGTGAATAAGCACAAACTAATAACAGTGTGAAATGGCAGTTTCATTTTTAAACACTGTGTTCAAGTCAATAAAAAAAATTAAAATAATAATAATAAAAAAAAATCTGCATTATAGTTGCAAATTTTCACCAAACTAGTTTCGATGGTTGTACCCAACCATCAACCTCATCTGCCAAAAAGGAAATGAAGGAGATAAGACATAGTGGTACGATAAGATTAGAATAGCTGGACAGGAGTTAAGCTACTGGCACCATCTATTAATGAAACAAGAAAACTAAAACATAATAACCTTAAAGGCTGAAGGTAATGATGGATTGGAATTAAGGTCATTAACTAGAACAGAAAGATTTTTTTGAATGTAAAATGCCACTAGAAAATCTAATTCACCAATGGAAGATGTTTTTTGAATAATTTTGGCTGCAAAAAAATGAAAGGTGTGATTTTTGGACCAATAATGCTCGGCAACAGAGGACTTCTGTGTTTCCTTTTTCCCAACATACGCCCCATGTTCTTTAACGCAAAATTTTAAAATTCTCTTAGTTTAACCAACGTAAGTTAAACCACACTGGCAAGGAATCCTGTAAATACCACAGGAATTCATATCCAGAATGGCGTCCTTAAGTATGGAACTCAGAATTTTATTGACAGGAGAATAAACAACTCAAAAGTTAAATTTCTGTAAAATATGTGCAATTTTATAGCTAATTGATGAAAAGAAAGGAATGACAACAGAATTCTTATAATCTTCTAAAACAAGAGTGTGCTTTTTGGTGTGTTGAGACCAGAACTTTGTTGTAACTTCTTGGTTAATAATGTTGGGTGAAAAGCCCTTATGAATAGCTACTGCTTTTAAATAATTTAATTCTTGATCAAGAGCCAATTTGGAGGAGCAAACTTGAAGTGCACAGAAATCAAAGGAATAAAATGAAGCTAACTTTTATTTAGTCGGATGACATGATTTGAACTGTGTTGGAAGGCAAATCGATGAAGGTTTACAGTAAATAGTAGTACTGAAGTTAGATGTGTGTTACATGTGACCAAAATGTTGAGGAACAGAATTGCATGTCTCAAGTTCAAAAGTGAACTGAATAGCATTTCTAGGTGTTTCACATTCAAAATTTTTTTCTGTTCTAGTTAATAACCCTGATTCCATCTTTACCTTCATTTAAGGAAATTATGTTTCAGTTTTCTTGTTTCATCAAGAGATGGTGCCAGTAGCTTAACTCCTGCCCAGCCATTGTTATCTTATCACTGTTTTATCTCGTTCATTTGCTCTTTGGCAGCTGAAAATTTGCAAATATAACACTGATTTTTGTTAATTAACTTCTAAATTACTATTTGCTCGGCATGTTATTTTTACCTAAATTACTGGGTTATTGGTTGGAAGAAATAAAATTCAATCACAGTGTAAAATATGAGATCTGAACTCATCATCAGAATTTCGACAATTTTGGAAGTTTCCAGATTTTAGATCATCAGTTTAAATCTAATAGAATATGCAGAAACTATAAAATTAAAAATATGACAATTTTTTATATCACAGCACTTTTGTTTCAGAGCTACTTGCCATACCTTTGCTAGCGTGTTTCTTTGCTGCCAGGCATCATTAGTTTGACTTCTTTCTGAACACATCACAATATTCAGCTAATCATACATGTATAAGAGAATACAATAAAAGAAATATGATTTAAATCTGCTATGTATCTTGTATCTTATTGCATCTACCTGACTTCAAAGTTTCTTCTTCATTATGGATCAGCATATCAGTATCATGTAATCAATATGCCATTAATATTCAGTACCTGTGTAACCAATATTCCCTACGCCATCAATATTTCTTTTATTTCTATTGACATTTATGGCCACAAACAACTTGGCACTCTAACCGTGCCTGTATCAGAACAGTTATTTTTATATTGTTTTGAGGATGAAGGGAAAGCAGCAAGCAGCAATTTGTCTAAGCCAAGGCACAGAAAGCAAGTGCTTTGTGTTCAGGATAAAATCTTAATTCAGAATGAATTAGTTTTGATTTAAGTTGCAATTCATAGAATAATTAATAATGCTTTAAAATTATTATTAGCTGTTTTCGTTCCATTTACATCACCAGTGTTATGTAACAGTCATATGATATGATTAGTCTTGAAATGATGCAATTCAAAAATTTTATTACAATTTTAAAAAGAGAGGGGAAATACCTAAATTAAAATTAAGCATTAAGGGGCTACTGCTAATTTAAATTACAATTTATATTTATACACTTTTTTATTTATAATTTACATTTGCAAACTTTTTATCTATAATTTATATACTTTTTATCTATAATTCATATTTACAAACTGTTTATCTTACACACACACATTATTTTCCTGGAATGGGTTTAAATGTTTTGAGATTTGCCAAGAGATGCACAAGCAGCTAGGAATGCTGCACAAAGGAAGATTGAATAGACTCGAGCCCAAAAGGCTCATTTTGTGAAACTGCTGGTAGCTTCTTGTTGAGTACCTTGAGTTTTTCTTATAGTTAGTTTCTTTTTAGAATTAGTTTCTTCTTTTTTAGTTCTTGAGTTCTTCTTGGAATCACCCTAAGTTTTTCTTATAATTCTTAGTGCTTTTCTAGATTTGATTGATGAAGGCATGTTATCATTTTTTTTTTTTTTTTTTTTTTTTTTTTTCTGATCATTATTGCTGTCAGTCCTTCTACATAAGAGCCACATTTTCAAAAACAGATATTAACTGATTTTACAAGATTAACTCTCTACATTCACTATAACATGCCTAAATTCTAGATATTGATTAACTTATCTTCTAAAAGTGCTTGTATTTTTACAAAATTCCAATCTGTTCATCCTTTTTTAAACATCTTTTCTGTAGTGACATTCAAAAATTTTTCATAGTACACTAAAATTAAAGGAATGTTAGAAGTGTATTTGCAGAAAGGGACACTAAGTTTTTCAGAAAGAATTTCAGAGATGTGTGTTCTGTATAGTTATCTAATTAGTAAAACTATTTTTTCATTTTTCAGTTTCCTACTCCATTTCAAAAGAAAACCAATAAAAATTCTGCACAGCTGCCAACCTTGAAATCTTAAAAACTCGAATATTTTTGCGAAAAAACCAGAAGGCGACACCATTTCAAAGGAACTCCAAACTGATTTTAATTCACTTTGTAATATATGGTTTAGGTTACAGAATTATTTTCAATTCAATTTTAATGTAAAATATATTAGCATTTTATTTGATATTTTAAATTTTATGTTTCTTTGGCTAACTTCATTTTTGAATTTTCTTACAATTTTTATGCTGAGAAAATCCTGAGTAGTGAAGCAAAGCATTTGTTTATGAAAGGGCTTTTAAATATGATGGATATAAAATAAATAATTAATATAAATAGTACTCGTGTTGTTCTTAGTAAAAGGCTAAAAAAACTAAAAACCAGCAGATACAGTGATCTGCCAGGAGATAGGCAGATGTGATGAAAATTGGGAGTTTTCAGGTAAAACTGGCAGCGATGGCAGCTATACACTAGTCATACACAAGTTCTTGTTGCTGTGCTAAGTAAGAAGTAAATTCTTGACTCCTTTCAAACATCAATGTTTACTACCTTTGTCAGTACCCAGTGTTGCCTTCTAAATTGTTGGGTCCACAATGCATATTAACACGTAACATTTCCTTCATTTTCTTAAATTATGTATTTTATTATTATTTCACTTCTAAACATTAATGTATGTCTTGCTAATTCTCTGTAACTCAGTTCAGTTTCATCTGTATTGTAAGTTTCATGTTCTTGTATTCATTTAGCAACCCAAGTAACATGTCTTTTATCCAGTTATCAGCTGCATAACGATCTGCTTCTTCTTTCTCCTTTCCAGTGAACAAGGAAGGATTTCGATTTCTCCCACATGTGAATAAACTATTAGTAGATACTCAATTCTCTCCTAGCATTTAGCGAATAAGTGAGAAATGCTCTAGAAATAGAAACACTTTTTAGGTTTACAGCTTAAAATCATTTATAGAAAAGCAATTTCAACATCTCTAAATTTTTTGGCTATTTTGCACTTCTTTGAGACATTTACATTTACTACTAGTTCTTCATTAATTACAATTCTTCGTTAAATTAAGCAGCACAATGCTTTTTGAGAAAGTTCCAGTTTAAATTTAGTTTTTCTTTGTCTGAAATTATCAAGAATATCAAAATCTTTCGACAATTTTTCCTTTTCTTTCAGGCTTACGTCTTTTTACTTGGCATTTCCGGCATGGTACAAGTTAAACACATAATTAACACATTGTTAACTTTAAGATAAGAAAATTCTGCTCTACTGAAATTCAGTGCAGACAAAGAACTCTAAAAACAAAGTCTTACAGGTACAGGGAGTATATATCATATTCAGCACTACGTACCTGAATGATAAAGCACTACATATCTAAATGATAAAGCCATAGTCCACAATATGTTAAATGAATGAAATACAAAAAAACTTTGTTACATACAAGTAGGATATTCAGGCACAGAAGAGTCACTTTGTTTGCCAATCTCAGTTTAATAAGCGGCAGGGATCAGTTTCACAAACATTTTTCTTCCTATTGATAAATATATATTTGGTTTGGATCCAGGAAATTTGAGCGTAATAAGTCACTGTGTTTATTAACCAGTTATTTTAATAACCAGTGGGTACTGTACAACCTTCTGGCATACAGTATTATAGGTAAGACTGAATCTAACAATACTTTACTTCCTTATGCTAATACCTAAATATTGTATTCTTGACATTTATAAAAACGATGTCTCCAATGATCAAGTACTAATAGTACCAGAGTTTATTACTTACCACATTCTCAGTCTACCTGTATATAACCATTTAGCTGCAGTAAATTGCAATATCAAGAAGAGTGATCACTGCTTAACCTTTTACATGCTATTAACTGTCATCTTGTTGGTCAACAATAAAAATGATAAAATGCTATGGACAAGCCAAAATGGTTTGGCATTAGTCATAATCTATTTCCAATTCACCATAAGTAAAGCTCCCTAGATATTCTTATTGGGCTGTTCTCTTACCTGTGACATTCAAGAAAACAAAACAAACATTTTTAATATTAATAAATAATATGCAATAATTTCCATTGAATTCATGCTACTTGGTTACATGCAAGCATAAATACTCTCATGATTTGCAAACCAACATGTACTTTTACTGCTGTTCCAACTAATGTCTACTTTCTAGAGTTTTTTTACTTTTGACTTTTTCTCACATTCTGCACATTAGTTACTAGAAAATCTAATTTTACACAAGAATTATTGAAGCAAGCATAGGAAAACATTAAAACAAAAAAATCTTACTTAGAAAACATTGATAGTAACTTCTTCTCAGTGACACCAGGTTGTACATTACCAATCCATAATGAATTATGGTTTTCAGGATTGTTAGGACTGAAATACACACAAAGAAGTGCCCAGTTATTTCAACACATTCAGAAAATAATAATAATGATTCAGAACTTAACATAATCTGGACTTGAGAAAACCTGATCCAAAATTCTTTATCTTGAATTACTAAAGTGATTTTAGTATTACTGAAAAATTATTTAGTAAAAACTATTGATAAAGAAATAAAATGAACGTTAAAAGAATATGAATTAGGTGATCCATGATAATTATTATTTTTTAATGCATTTATACTACACGCAGCACTTTTTAAATCCCCTTTAAATATTTTCCATTTTTGGAAATTATTAAGGTGTAACAAAACTGACATTTAGGCCTTCAAACACGTTTTTGAAACAGTTATTTTGTGTTAAATGAAAAGACTGAATGACTTAGCTTCATACCCATATTAAAACCATTATTTATTTTTCAGTCACTTACAATTAAAAAATATCTTTTTGGTTTTTAAAATTTAACAATCAATTACACATTTTTAAAAAGGTTTGGAGTCAGCATTAAGTTTATTTTGCTGTATAAAATGCCTGGGATGATTTCTTTGGGGGGGGGGACTTTTTAAAATGTGTGCCTATGGCTATGCTTGCTCCGACCACCAAATATACACAGCAGAATATCTTGGTAACATGTGGCCTTTTACTAGGTTCTGACTATGCATTAGTTGCTGAGTCATTGATTAAATGAAGTCATGCATAAAATGCTGATTAAGAAAACTTTTATGGAAACATTCCAAATGCTTAATCGAACAAGCAAGGATGACTGCATGAGCTGAATACAATGCTATGAATGGTTTGAATGTTTTAAGAAGGGTAGAAGTTTGATTGCTGAAGATTCAAAAACTGGATGCCATTCCATGCCAACAGACGACCTACACATTCAGAGTATGTATGCTATAAATTCGTAAAACTGTCATTTAACTCTTCTAAAGGTTGCTGAAGAAGTTGGCATACGTGTAACATCTTAGCATTACATCTGATTAGAAAAAATTTCAATACATCACATCACTGCAGAATTCATGACGCATTTGTTGACAAAGGATCGGATGATGAATGAGTTGAAATCTGTCAAGAACTGCTAGCAAATGTAAATGATAACTTCCTCAAGAACATCATAATAAGAGAAAAGCTAAATGTTTATGGATACGATATGGAAAATAAATTGTGACAATCTTTGCAATGCGTGGGGTAACGGCCTTTTCAACCAAAGTAAGTACAGAAGAGTCACTCAAACATCAAAATTATGATGGATAAGTTTTTCAACTGGGAAAGGTACGGTGCACTATGAATTTTGAGCCACATGATCAGACAGTACACCGTTTAAATACACACTACTCATTTGCATTCTGGTAAGAAATACGGAAAGGAAAGATTATAGTGAAGAGTGAAATTATAAATAATTGATTAATAAGCATAAATATCCCAACAACTTAAAGATTAATAATGCCATAGTTTCCACAAGATATTTTATGGCTTGTTCAAAATCCAACAACTTAAATATCTAAAATTGATTAATAAGCATAAATATCCCAACAACTTAAAGATTAATAATGCCATAGTTTCCACAAGATATTTTATGGCTTGTTCAAAATCTTTTAAAGTTTATAAATGTGGCAGGCTATAATTCTAATGTGATTAAGAGATGTTGTGTATACTAGATCAAGTCTACTAGATAATTCTAATGTGATTAAGAGATGCTGTGTATACAGGAAGGGACTTCAACTGTCAGGGAATCGACTGTTTATGTTGCATTTGACAACACTTAAACAGCGCATTTCTACTGCCAGGCCTTAAAACAGCATATATCTACTGCACTCTATTCGCCAGGCTTGGCCCCAGCAAACTTTTTTTTCTTACCCAAACTTAAGCCATCCTGAAAGAATCTTGCTTCCAATCCACAGAGAAATTCAGGAAAATGTGATGAGAGTAATACCAGTTATAAAGAAAGAAGTTATTTCCATTCATTCCAAAAATGGAAGAAATAAATTCATTTAATGAATACTATAGCTATCTTACTCTCTATTAAAGAGCAACCAAAGAATATATATGTCATAAGTGAAACTGAAAAATGTATGGTTTTATAAAATGAAATGTTTTATACATGAGTAACTCACTAAAAACAAAACACTAGTTTTGAACAACTAAAAAAAAAGGCTGAACAATTCATAGAAAAACTTAAAAGTTTCTAAATAATATCTGCAACATGTAAAAACTATAACAAAGCAAAAGTCTGGAACTATGCTAGAAATGTAAGTAATGTTAGATTTCAGTACTTAAGGAATATGTTCCTTTTTGAAATGCATTTGGTTTTTCAGCAATTTTAAATTACTTATTTTTTTATACTTACATGTTGCACTAGAATTCTTAACCATCAAACTGAGAGATTTCCTTTATAATAGAAATGGGCATATGCTAAATGTTGATTGTTCTAGTATTAATTAAACTTTTTGTACTTCCATTTGTGCCAACGTTTTAATAAAAGTTATACTTTAGTTAGGTTAAGATGGTAGCAATCATTTACAGGTAGTATTGAAAATAGCATGTTACTTTCCTGTGTGCAGAGAAGAGACAACCATTGCTTATTTAAATGTATTAAAAACTGTATTGCACTACACCAAGAAAAAGAATCATAGTTTATCATGGCATGATAAATACTTTATCACAATAAGATAATAATTTATAAACAATTTTATTACTGTGTACTTCTTAATATTTCAGATATTAAATCTAAACCATTCATGGACAAAAGTTTAAAAAAAAAAATCTACTTTAGAGTTTCACTTGTTAAGCACACTAAACTTTAAAATTCAAATGATGTGTGGCAGAAGTAAAAGGTAATCATAAAAATTATTTTTCGTAATCATCTATCTGTTGTTTAACATCTGATATTTGAAATTTAAAAAGAGAATTATGCATTCCACTTACTCTGTTTTAATATCATAAACACGAGGCGTCTTTTTCGCTTTAGCAGCCATTACACGGAAAGCTTCAGACTCATCATCAGATAAAAAAACATCATCATCCTTGAATGCAACACGAGATATTCCATTTATAACTAAATTACTTATTGCTTCTTTTACAGAACCATACTTGGACAGAGCTGCTTCAGCCTGCTCTTTCGAATAGCCTGCCTCCTATATATTTCCAAACAGAATATGGCATATTAATGGCATTAAAAATAAATGCTTTTGTTCTCACAACATGGTCGAAAATTTTTGAAATATTTTGATTTTCAAGAAGTGAAAAATTTAGCCTAATTTAGTTCTATAAATTGAATATTAATTTGTTTAATAGGAATTTAAAGAAAAGCAAATGACAGTATCATACATATATATGTATTAAAAGCTGATACATTTCCACAAGTTACTAGAATCTTGGGGGGGGGGAAAAAAAAAAAACCAACTGGACTCCATACATTCAGTGCTAATATAACAAAAATATTATCAAAAATTAAATGCAATTTAAATTAAATAAGTTTTAAAAAACTATGTATTTTTCTGTGTTTAATTATTCCTTGGATTTTAAAAGTTTTCAGAAATACATTGGGTTAATGTAAAAGTTCGTCTGATTTTTTAAGATTCAAACCATGAAGAGATCTGACATTATACATGAAACTTTGATAACTGGAATTTTCAACCAATAAAATGTATAAAATGTAAATGAAAGCAGCAAATAAAGGCAGCATGCTTTTAAGAGTAAATCATTTGGGAAAAAAAAAAAATCAAATGATTTAAAATGACATGGCACGCTGTTGCTTGTTTAAAAAATTCAGAAACAGAAACAAAGGATTCAATCATGTTTTAGATGTCCATCAGTGGTGTTTTTTAGCAGGTTCTGGACCAAGCCATATTTAATGTCTCCCATGCAAGTGTTGAGGAATTAGCAAAATTGTTATTTGTACATTTGACATAAACTCTGAAAATCAATGACAGATAAAAAACCAATAACCCTTTCTTCCCCCTTTCTTGCTTGCTCCTTTGCTTTTTTTTTTTCTCTTGCTTATTGTCTTGCTCCAGAAATTAATCATTTTTTAAAATTAATTAAGACTGTTGATAGGACTCTGCACCATGTAACAGAGACTGCTCCTCTCACATTAAGAAAAGGGCTGCATCCCCAAAAGTTGTGTTATGTCCATGGTGCGATATGAAGGGAATAATCCACCGAGATCAGCTCCCGTAACCAAATAGTTAATGCTGATATGTATTGCCAACAGTTGGAAAAACTGATATGTCAGCAGTCAGCATTTATCAAGGAATTATCTTTCAGCATAAAAACTTCAAACCTCAGACTGCATTAATAACTTGAAAAAAAAATTATTCGACTTTGGTTGGTATGTTTTACCTTACCCCAGACATTGCTCCTTTAGACTGCCACATTTTTTCAAGATGGAATACATTAACCTATCAAACCTATATATTTCAAAACTTCACAAGTGATTTTGCACAAGATGCAAAATCAAAATTAAGCACTTTTTATTCTAAATATTTTTTGACAAGAGATTAATTACTAATAAAGGCACATAGCAATATATTACACTAAATATTGCCAATTATGTGAATACATACATATGTTATGTTTTCTTTCATTCTTTTTCATCTAAAAAAAAGGAGGACAAACTTTCACATCAAGCCATGAATATGTTATATTATTACTCAATTACCTAATTTTATATTGGAATTTACTTTTATTTCTCTTGATAGAATGCTTATAAGAATGTTGAATATCATGCCTGCATAAAGTGAATAGATGTTTTTGTATACATTTTTAAAATTTCTCATAATTATAATGGCAGCTACATTCAAATAAATTATTTTAGTATCTAAAAATTTTTGTAAACCATGTGAGTATAAGTATAGCATTATAATTTGCATTAGTTAACATTATATAGAGTGTCAAGGAAGAATTTTCATTTCTGAATCCCACAAGAAAGCAATTTTTATGAATTTTCTCAGATGCTATTCTATTTAAGTGACAGTATGAAACCACAGCCAAAATATATGCACAAAATTACCAAGTCTAGCAAATGTGCCTATTAAATTTGTAAACTGTGTGTAAATTTAAACCAGACAATTTTTTCTGCTCTAGTGGTCTCTGGTGGCAATGTCAGCTCCCCCTCACTATGCCACAACAATCCCAAATTGGTTTGATCAGGCATTCCCTGAATTTTGGGCAGCTCTTCATATACTGCTATTCATGTACAGAATTCTGTGAAAATATGTTTATGATTACAGACCTACACTGATGCTGATTGCATGCATGTTGATTACACTATGGAAAATCAATATTAAAGAGTTTTTGTGCCACAAAATAAGCCATCTGTTTTCTTTTCATGCTAACTCTGCATTGAAGTATGGTCTACTACTTATGGGCCATCCTGGTATTACATGGCTACCTATGGGCATATTTTTTTTAATTCAAAATGTTTTATTTTGGCAAAAGCATATATGAGATTGTACATTCATAAAACAATTTACTTTTGTTTTGAAGTATTTTTTTCAAACGTAAATCAAGAGCGCCACATCGTTTTCAGAAGAAAGTACACAGGTGATTGGTTGCTGATTCATAAAATTCAGATATTAGAATGTAAAAAAAAAAAAATAAATAAGAATACATACCATTATTTGAAGAATTTTTACTTTATGTAATTCAGCAAGTGCATCTTCACAATCATTATCAAGTTTCAATACTTTGACAAAGCATTCCTCTGCTACAGAGTATTTCTGAAAATGATTATATAATCTAATTATATCCATACAGAATAGATTTTATGAGAATATGAACACAATGCACACATTATCTATAACATAACAAGTAAACCAAAATGAGAGGATTTCATAAATACATGCAGATACAAGAGCTTACTTTTAAACCTAGCATTGCTCTTCCTTTCCTAAAATATCCTTTTGGCCATGCAGGACATAAAGCTATAGATTTTTCAGCATCTTTTAAAGCTCTACAAAAATGTTTAAAAAGTGTTAAATACCTACAACAACATATTATACATACAGATAAAAACATATAAATCAAAACTAACTTCCAACAGTTGCTTAACTCTCCTTTTTAATTTGGTTACTTTTTCTTTCCAGGCTAAAAATTGTAACTCTTTATAATAAACTGCATCATTTCAAATCAACTAATAGTAATTTCTAATTTAAATACAAAAACATTAAATTAAAACTAAATCATTTTAAATTGGGCTTTCGTTCTGGATATGTCACGTTCTCTCTTTCACTTTGCTGCATTTGAAGCTTACTGTCTGCTGCAAAATTGTGAGAAGTATCAATGTGACAATTTAGGAAGGGGGGCATTCACTGTGCCAATTTAGCTGTCTTTCTATCAAAAATGCTTTATCAACAAATAAAAAGTTTTCAGATTGATATAACTACATTACTTCTTTATGACTCAATTACCATTTTTAACATCTAAATTATTTCAAAAGCTGAATCAAAACTAAATTATTCTGAGTGGGATTGTCATCTTGGATATGTTGCATTCTCTCTTTTGCTTCTGTGTTCTCAACTTGCTTGTTGGCTGCTGATCTTTCCTTCGTTGAAATTCACAGTCATAAAAATGCAGAGAAGGCACAAATGTGAAAGAGATAAGACACACAAGATTCCACTTAATGTGCTGTTAATTTATATTAAGAACATGTTTCTCAAGAATAATAAAGTATTAAATTGGTCCACCGGAGCTGCAGACATTTTTTATGCATCATGCTCCATCACTCCATGAATAATATTTTCTATCACGCATCAACATCTAAATTATTACAACATAAACACAAACATACATATATTAATATTATGAACACAAACTATAAACTTAACAATATTCCATGCTTTTAAAGCAATGAAATTGCATTTATCATCAGCAATGTAAAATGAGTTCAGATTGAAAAGGAATAAAAGATTTTACTGGCAGAAATTAACTTTAATTTTCACAAATAACAGATGAAAAAATCATCTAAAAAATAGTATTATAGTTTGCTTTTCAATTTGAATGAGATATCACACTCACACTGTGAGAAAATAATAAAAATTTCACGTAAAAAAAAAGCTTATTTATTGTGATTTTTAAACATTATGAGGCTAAGAATATTAGATATTTCCACAGAATCTTTCTATGAACAATGAATATTTGCAGAATCCAGAGCCGGAGGGGAAAAAAGTGGGGGGGGGGGGGTAAGCAATTACAAAATTTCTTTGAGAAAGTGCAATAACTAATGTTTTATTAGTATTATATTTAACATAAAAAAGGCAATATATATGCATCTTAAAAGACAACACAGCCCTTCTTTAATGTAAACATGTGAAAATTTATCAAAAGTTATAAATTTCCTAAAATTTCAGTAAAATTATTTCATGAAAGTTATTACATAAAAGCTATTGAAAATCAAAGAGAGCAGCAGATTTCTTACTCACATTTACATTCATTATCATCATGCCAGAAGGGGGGGGAAACAGAATGGCCAAAAAGAAGCATCTGAATAATTGCAATGTTCAAAGGACACATAAAATATTTTTAATTCTGAAAGGAAACAATTTGCAACTTAACTATACGAAATTCTTTATTCTAAAATGCAAATTTTTATTCTGAGTCAAAATAATCCTATATCAAGGTGTTATAACATAAAAAGGGGAAAGAAAGTCAAATATGTTACAATCTGCTGGCAGATAACAAACATGAATTAATCTTAAAAAATCTGACATGGACACCAAATAACTTCCTTATACACCCTATTAAATTATATACATCTTTTGCTGTGTGTCATCTAAACTTATTTCCTCGAATTTCGTTAAAGATATATTTCTAATCCAATCACAATTCAGTTCTCATGTAGAAGCAAGGCAAAAATACATAAAAACTCAAACCATCTTCATTAAAAATTGGAAAAATGAAATAAACTAAAACAATGACTACAGATTAAATACAGTTAAAACTTTTGGGGGGGGCAATTAGTGTGTCTATGCAGGAACAAGTAATATGGTCAACTGGCAGAAAGACAAAATTTCCAATATACTAGAATTTAAAGTTAACTTTTGGTTCCAACTGGCAGAGTGACACCGAAGTTAGTGCACCAACCAACTTAATTCACTATGCTACTAAGAGTTTCAAATGCAAACAAATTTGCACCACATTAGGGTTAGCTCCTGCACAATTTACCAACATATGAGAATTAAAAAATAAAAATTAAAAAATAAATAAAAAAAACTCACAGAGCAGTATAAGACCATGGGTATTATGTGTATGCATAAATGTGTGTATATATATATACCCCCTTTCTTGACCACTGATGGGCTGTTTGAAGGAGGAGGGTTTGGGTTATTTAAATACTGCAAAGCACCCAAGAAAAAAATTTCTAAGAGAAGGGATGACTTTGTAAAGGGGTTGCAATGAAAAACTCATTTATATTCGAATTAGACACGGGGAAAAGCACACAAAACTTATACAGCCACATTATTCATCTATATATGAACCCAGATCAAACTAACAGTATTCAATGGTGGCATATTATTTACTGCATATTAAAGAAACAAGAAAATGGTACCTGAAAATGAAACCAGAATGGATGCACTAATGCAAGTTAAAATGCATTGCATGCTGAAATATATTAACAAGTGAAATAATAATAATTTGTTAATACATCTTTTCCAGCATAATGATTTTAAGTGGCTTTTAGGTAATGTAATTTAAATTATAAAATAAATATTAAAAATAAAAAAGCTTTTATTTATATTTTAAGAATGTTTTTATTTTATACAATTATTTAATAAATATATTTCAGAAAAGTCAACCATAATATATTTACCTCTCATATTGGCATAATCTGTCATAACAGTATGAACGATTACCATAAAACCTAAAAATAAAATATAAATGATTAAACAAAGCAAATTCAAAAGCAATAAAGCAGTTGAACTCCAAGTATGTGGAATGATTCAGACCTCAGTCCACTGTTAGAATCAGATAATCCAGATAATTAGACTGTCTGTTTTTAGAGGCTAAACATCTTTTCTAGCTGCTATTTAAAGTTCATTTACTGAGAAATGTACCTTAAATATTAATTTCAATTGGTCTTGATATACAGTATAATTTTGGGAAATTTATTATAATCAAAAAAAAAAAAAAAAAAAATTAACAGCAATAAATTTACTGCAAATTTAGTTTATTTCATTACAAAGCACTCTAGCGCTATCTGCCTAAGCAAAGAGATGTTTTCCCGGACGACTTTCTAAGGGGAACTGGCTCGTATACATGTTACACATGTGGAAGCCCATGAAAACGCTCATGCAGCCAGCCTATTTGCCGGGATTTAAACCTCAGACCAAAATACCAGTGTTCAGCGAATTCACCACTTGGCTGCTAGTGGGCCCTAAAAGCAAATTTAATTTTAAATGACTTCAAAAGAAGTAAAAATGCTCCTGATAATCAGAGTTCTACTGCAGCATATCTACTCCTAAAACAAAACATATTTGCAACAATATATATCATTAGCAGAAAAAATCTCGATAATATAAGTAAGCACTAGAATTTCTAGCCCGAGTTACAAAATAAGGGGTTAAAAAATAAATAAAAGTCGTACTAAATTACATCAACATACCATTACTGTCATCAACATAGTTGATGTTATAACATAGAGCTGTTAAGGTTATATTCAAGATAACTAGGGTTGGACTTGTTGCTATAAGAGAGCACTCCACATTATCACACCAAGGGGTGTAAACAAAGGCTGATTGGGGAAACTGGCCCTCGCTCCTCACACACAGACCCAATGATTACCTGCTTCAAGACTGAAGAATTTTCAGACTGAAGCAGGATTCGCATTTGAGCATTATGCGATGCCAATCAGCTGGCGGCCATGATGATCGGCTATGACATGATTAGACGCCTCTGTAAATGTTGTGTGGTTATAGGAAGTATTAAAAGCCTCTGTGAACACAACCTTGGCTCAGCCAAGCATCATAAGATGGTAGAAGGTGGTACCATGAGTGAAATGGAAGACACTATAGAGCGTTGGATAGCAGACGCTCAAGATGACTAGATTATTTTTTAAGGGTGCTTCCTTTTTTTTAAAAAAGAGTTTTTACTTAATTCTTTTTAATGTGTATAGATTTATTATCAACAGCAAAACTGCAAACTCTTACATTATAGAATCTTATTCTCTACATTCTGCTTTTCAGTATGAGCATTAGATTATTTTACTATTTTCAACTTATGGAAGCAATGCTTTCATGGCAAAATTTCATAAGGAGCTTATTTATGTTACATATTAGGAACAGTTACACATAGGAAAACCATGATAATCTGATGCAATCTGTCTGTTCAGTTGCCAAAAATAGAACTTAAGTAAACTACTCATAGTTTCTGATTTTAATGAGCCAATAGTAGTCAAATAATACTCCAACAGACAAAATATTAAATATTTTAATTAACTTTAATCTAATAACATTTCTGAAGGACACTTTAACTCCCTTCTTTTCCATAGCAATAATCCCATATAATCTGTAATAATTTTTCCGACAATGCATATGTAACTTAATCAGAAGAGTAATTTTGGCAGTTCAAAATACAATTACCCAGGGCAATCCAGAAACTTATACATTTTATTTAAAAGCTTACATATGAGAAACACAAAACTATGCAATTAAGAAAATGCATATAAAATAATGATTATTTTATTGATAATGAACATTAATTATGCACATAAGTTTGTTATAAATTTCATAATGAAAGTTATTTTAAGGATAAATTATAATCACATTTTGGGAAAATATATTATTAAAAAGGATACAGTTGAAATCAGCAGCATTTTAAAATTTAACAGATCTTTTTGCCCTTTTCATTAATGGGTCATTTAACAGCCTTTTATTTGTACGTGCCAATGCCAATGATTTGAGATTTTCGGAGTGCCTATGGTTCAAAACCATTTACCTCCACATCAGAATTACTAAAAGTGAGCAGAAATTGGAAAAATTTGGCATAAGTGATTTACTTGATGCTCAATAGAGGGAGCCACAGGCTCGAGAAAGTTTAGGGATAGAGCAGAGAAAATAAAAACTTAAGTATCATAAATTTTTTTATAAGTTTTTAGGTTTTTAAAAATTTTTTTGTATTTTATATTTTATACTTTTTTTTTTTTGGTTTTTATAATTTTTTTTTATACACAGTACAAACACTAAAGCAAAAAGCGGATAGGAGTTTACGATTAATAGGCTCATTGGCATGTGGCTTGTGTAGGAGAGTGCAAATAATTAATGGGATCGCGATGAAAATATTCTTAGGCAGATTTAAAATCTGCGGGAGATGTGATTCTTAAGTAAACAGATTGATAACTTTGCTTGAAGATCTTGAATTGCAGTTGAAATAGATGAAATAAGCAATTATATGGCAGCTCGCTGAAGAGACGTCCTTCCTTCATGGCGCGGGGGCTGGAACTGATGTTGAGAGGGCGTGTCTAGCCCTTTTAGATGGTGGATAGATGCCGAACTCTCGGCCAATCACGGCTCTCGGTCTCTTCTGTGAGCTGCGAATAGAATAGCAGGATCGTATGCTGGCATCTGTTGAAGTGTTTGGTTATCAATCTGTTCAATTTTAAGGAATAAATTTTGACTATGTTTTTTGATAAGATAATCAACAGGTTTAATGTTAAGGTCCGAATGAATCACATCTGTACGGACGTACCAGGCTGTGTTTAGGGCCATACGTAAGGTTTTACTTTGAAAAGATTGAAGTTTTTTCACATGAGTTTTTGCAGCAGTACCCCAGATTGTACATGCATACATAAAGACAGGTCTTATAATTGATGTATAGAGAAGAATTTTGTTTTTAATTGACAGATTGGCTCTTTCGAGCTAAAAAAAATGGGTAAAGTTGGGCTCTAGCACCTTTCGCTTTGTTGAGAACATTTTCAATGTGAAGGCGCCAGAGTAATTTTGAATCAAGTACAACTCCTAGGTACTTGTAAGAGTTTGACCAGGGAACATAGTCATCAAAGAATTTAATATTAATGGAAGGGTACGGGAGGGGGCTACGTTTGAAGATCATAGCAGCACATTTAGCAACATTAATTTTTATTTTCCAAGTGATGAGCCAGTGCTCAAGGCTAGAGAGATATCTCTGAATGATTTGGACCAAGTTTTCAAGGCGTTTGTGTTGGGCTAGGATGGCCGTATCATCTGCATAAAGTGCAAGAGTGATACTAGGTGATTTTGGTATGTCATTTATGAAAATGTTGAACAAAATTGGGCCTAAAAGTGACCCTTGGGGACGCCGCTTAGTATAGGACGGGGGGGTGTCGAAATGAAAGAATTAACTCGTACAGAAAAAGATCTATTAGTGAGGTACGAATTAATTATATGAATTAAATGGGCCGAAACGTCAAGTCGTATGAGCTTGATAATAATTCCTATATGCCAAGTCCTATCAAATGCTTTGGCTATGTCAAGAAATAAAGCGCCAGTAAGCATTTTGTTACGAAACCCTTCGTGAATGAACTCCACTGTCCTCAGCAGCTGGTGCGTGTAGTGCAGTGTTTTGCTCGAAATCCAAATTGTTCATCAATCAGAACGTTGTGATTTCGGAGAAAATCATTCAGGCGTTTAAGTAACACAAACTCGTATATCTTAGATAACGAGGATAGGAGGCTGATAGGTCTATAATTTTGAGGATTAGAAAGGCTTTGGCCTGGTTTTGGAATAGGCACAATAAGTGCTTGTTTCCAGCTTTGAGGAAAATAGCAATGCTGTATCATAAAATTTATAAGCATTACTAAGAAAAATAGATAATTGGTGGGTAAATTTTTAATCATACGATTAGAAATAGAGTCCATACCAGGGGCTTTTTTGGGTTTGAGCTTGGTAATGTATTCACTTACCTCGCTCATGGATGTATATTGTATTTCTCTCGCGAAAGGCGAGGAGAGGAAACGTTCAACATCTTGTGGGAAAGAACTTGCGCTGTTCGCAAAAATTCCTTCATTATGTGGTGTAAATTGAGTTTGAAGAGAATCCGCAATTAATTCGGATTTCTCAGCGTCTGTGTGAGCCACCGCTGCGTCCGTAGCTAAGGGCGGAATGTTAGATTTGTGTTTGCGTAGGCGGGCTGATGCGCGCCAAAGACTGTTATCATTGGTCGTTAGGGACTGAATGTAATTCGTGTATTGTGATTGGAAGAACTGGTCACATGATGCCTTGATCTCATTTTGGAGAGTACGGAGTTGAATTTTTAGTCCAGGATTTCTATTTCTTTGCCAAAGTCTCCGTACTTTATTCTTTTCTTTAATTTTGAGTTTAATTTCTTGTGGTAATTTACGAAAATTGGGTCTAAGGGTGGGTTTTGATACTTCCTTATAAGTATCTGTTAGAATGGTCGTTAAGTGGTCAACATCATGGCTGGATTTAATTTCGAGGGAGGGCAAATTTTTACTTTTAAGTTTGAAACAAAAATTGTCCCAGTTTGTAGAGACGAGTGCCGGAGAATTTTGATTAAAAATAGTACAGTTAAGGTCTATGATCACGGGGTTGTGATCTGAAGATAAACAGTTTTCAACAGTCACGTGATATCCAAAAGGGATGTTTCGAAAGAGTGCTAAATCAATGAATGATGGGGCACCCCGTGAACCATATCTGGTGGGGGAATCCGGCGCAATAATTTTAATTTGGGCGCACTGAGCCCATTTTAGAAGGCCACGACCAGCAGGGTTTGATCTATGACAACGCCAATGCTGATGGTGACAATTTAAATCACCAGCTATGATAAGATTATTTGAAAAATTGAGCAGTTTATTAAAATCTACCACAGGAAAATTTCCACCTGGTGGGAGATAGGCAGAGATCATAACTAGGGATGGCGAATTTTTAATAAAAATTTCGATAATTGTTGCTTCAAGTTTGCTCATATTTGGTGTGTCAATTCTGCGATATATTTGTACGTTATGGCAAAAAATGTGGTTTACGTATGTTAAACATTAAAGCAATGCTAGTGAAATGAATGTCAAAATTAGCCATATATATATATATAATGGCAAAGCGCACCAGGGCTATTTGCTTAAAAGCAGAAACGCTTTTATGAAAGAATTTTTACGGCAAAGTGGCTCAAATGTGCATTTTATATGGGGAACACCATAAAAATTTCTTACAACAAGCTTGTTCACCAGGATTTAAATATAGCTCGAACTTTTAATATTCAGTGTTTTTGCTGCTGAGCCACTACTAGGCATTAAAACTTTGATCAAAGCTCTTTAATATTTAAGTAACACCCCAGATGTTCCTCTTCTTTTTTTTTCGTGTGGGGGGGAGGGGGTCAGAAATTTTTGATCTTCTTGATCTTCTGGTGTCAAAAAGATTCACATGTACTTTTTCGGGGGGGGGGGGGAATCTCATAAAACTGCATATATGAAATTTCAGTTTGTGTAAATTTTAATGGACTTTGTTTACTCCAGTTTTACCATAATTATTTTTATAAAGAAATAAAATATTGTATGGATTATTTGTTAAATAAAGGAAATAAATTTTATCTAATGCTAAAAAAGCTTCTTAGAATTAATAATTGTATTTTCACCCTTATTTTTAGAATTTCAAGTAAACAATTTCAGAAAATCTTGTCAAAACAAAAACTAGAATGATTTAAAATTTAGTCTCCGTTAACTGAGTTTTTGATTATCCAAAGTGATTATAATCCCAATTACTTCAGATAATTATAGGTTATATTGCATAAATATAAAGTGATGAAAAGTACAATTTAATTCTTTAATAATACAATAACTTCTTAAAATGTGCTCTGTTTAAATTAATATCTCAAATTAAATAAGAACAAATAAATTAACAAAATAAAGTATCTTCATTAAAAAAAGAAAACTAATTTTTGATATACGTATAAAAATATTTCCTACAAAATTAAGAAAACAGTACCTATGGTCTGAAGGGTCTAATTTTATAGATTCAGAGAATAAATCTGCTGCAGCTTGATAATGTCCCAGACTTGCCATTTCATTGCCACGTACTACAACAAAGAGCAACAGTCAAATAGTCTTTTGAAAATTAAAAAAATAGATACATAGAATAGCAAAATATATAGGCAAACTTTTATGCAAAATGAAAAATTAATGCATCATGCAGAAGTTTTTTTAAGATTTATTAATTATTATTCATTCAGCTTTAAATAATGCATAATGTCTGAGTTAACAAGCCTAAGATACTGCAAACCATTTCTCGATACCAACACATTAATAACACAATTAATATTTTCACATAATAGGTATTAAAAAAATTATTTCATTTGAAATTTAAGTATACAGGACATAAAGCTTTTTATACGAACAATTCTGTATTTTACAGTTATCATAGGAAAATTATAAACTGTGTTTTAAAAAGCAGGAAGAAAGAGAGAGTTTTTTAATTTGAACATTCATATATGGTTAAACTTTTACACATTTTAATGCATTCCTGAAGACATTCATCATCCAAAAAGTGCATAGACAAACTATTTTCTCTACAGGCATTAATATAAAATGGATTCATATGTTCTTAGGCCACAGATGATTAGTTATTTAAACTTTAGAACTGTGTGTACAAGTTTATGAAACAAAACCTTTGGATATCATCAAATTTAAGATTTAAAAAAAATATAAAGACAATATTAAATAGATAAAATGGGTGAAAATTTAATTTTACTTTACAAAGAGTTCACTTTAGCTTATTTCCATGGAAAGCTGTACAATTCTTTTAGTAAAAATACAAATTAAAAGAAAAATTAAAGCAAGAGCAAGTAAAATAATCATACGCACAGGCAAGCTGCCGACTTCGCAACACAACAGAAGTTGGATCCTCAGTTACCTAAAAGAAAAAGGTCACAAATACATAAATTTCTTTCTTTTTCAAATACATTTTAGTTTAGAAAATAACTAAATTTTACTGTTACTTAATACTTTCCATCTGTAAAATAGATAGACATTGAATTAATTACATGAGATAAAATACTGCATGGGTGATTTTGTTTAAATTACATAAAACTCAAACTTGTTTTTATACAGAAAACAAAACATTAAAAAAAAATAGATAAACCTCAAAATAATTACATGAGCATAAAAATAAACAAATAACTTTGTATTTGAATTAATTCAAAAAACTCCGTATCCAATTAATATTTAACTTTTACAAGCAGACACATACTTTTGCTGTAGATTTCTGTGTTGGAACAGTGCGAGTTTCTTTTTTGGCATCTGGAATTGGAACATGTTTTTTCTTTTTAGCAATAACAGCTACAAAGGCACTGGAAGTATCAATGTCCTGAAATGTCAAATAGCACTATACAAAATGCAAGTAATTTATTATATTCATAAATTGCACAAATATATGAATACAGAGATTTTGATTTCTTATGAATTGCAAATGGTATCTTATTCTACAAAATACATTATTTTAATACACATCTCTACAAAAATAAATATACTTGAATAAAAAATAAACTCTTTTTAAGAATAATCCATGACATTCATTAATAAAATATATGCTTCTCTCCAAAAAGTACTTTCAAGATGAAGACTTAATAATTAACAATCAAACTTACATGAAAATACATAAAACATGAAGGGCCAATCAGTAATGATTTTAATTTGGGCACATAAATTTCGAATGTCTGATAATTATAGCCAGAAGACTAGACAATTAAAACAAAAAACGTGTTCCCTATAATTTTTCACTACTGATGCACAAATTTTTTCGTAAGAATTGTTTGTGTGGCTTTTATTCTTTACTCTCACTTTTATATTTAAAGTAATTCTATTTTAATAAAATTTATTATTTTCAAAAATGCATATTAATATACATAGAAAAATAACAAAATTATTTACTTAACTATAGCTTAATAATAATAATATTTAGATTTATGCAAAAAAAAAAGTATATACAATTCAAAGGTCCGAGATCCGGTCCTCAAAGCCACAACAACTTTTTTTTTTGTTTTTTTTTTGTTTTTTTTTAAGAAATTTTTTTAGCATGCTGTACCACATGCTCATTTGATTCCCCCATAATAAAAGAAGTGGAGAGTCCCGCTTCTAAATTTTACTTTGGCACTAAATAAAATACCTCATTATTGAAGAAACAATCATTTTAACATAAATTTATGTTATCAATAATTTGGCTTTGTCGCTGTGCATCTGTTTAGTATACATCTAAAACCAAAACATTCTACATAGAAACATCATTGATTTTACACTTTTTAATATTTTATATCTCTGATGCCAACCTGGCAAATTTTTATTTATTGTACTTTGCCTTCATCACCGCATGTTTATCAACACAGAATAATTAGAGTAATGACTCAAGTAACAATGCCTAAAAAAATTTTTTTATATTAGTAATATGGCAACATTTTATGTTGACATTGCACTTGTAGATGATTGCAGATTTAAGTTAAATGCACTAAGAAATGTTTACGAGGAAAATTTTCACAAAAATTTCTTTCTTATTGCTCATAATACACTAGTGTGCAAAACTTAAGCAACAATGTAAATTTTAATCAGCTAGCCACGAAATTGCAAAAAAAGGGGTTCTTGCGATCAGTACAATGAAGATGCAATTCAGTAGAAAGGTCATGCGTATGCAAATGTTAGAAATAAAAAGTCACAGGCGACGTGAGCATACGCAAAACGCGTGCGGTCGGTGCGCTCAACTAAAGACTGCAATAATAGGAAGGACAGAGACATAATTAAAGACACTCGCTGCAAGCGCAAGTGAATTCTTTCGTGAAATATGGCTAGAAGATATCCTCTGGAAGACTTCACACGTGGAAGAATGACCGAATAGCTTGAAAAGGGGTGTAGCGTGACCAGTGTAGCTGAAGAGTTCGGAATCATTAAAAGTGTCGTTTCACAAGCTGAAAAAGCTGTCCAAACCATAGGTACAGCTGTTAGAAAGGTTGTTGGTGGCCGCAGCATGAAAACAACAGCAGCGGATGATCGATATATCGCCCTGCAGGCGAAAAGAGCTCGCAGCCAGTCAGCAAGCGCCATAGCTCAGCAACTGTATACATCAATGGGGAGACAAGCGTTGCAGTTTACTGTGTCCAGACGCCTTCACAAAGGTGACCAATTCACCCGGCGTCCTGAATGCAGCATCGCTTTGAAAGTTGGCCATCGGCGCCACCGTTTAGAGTGGTGCAAAGAGCAAAAAAACTGGACATCTCATCAATAGAGTCGTGTCCTCTTTAAGAATGAGAGTCATTTTAGAGCCATAAGTGACTCTCAACACCAGTTGATTTGGAGAGATATTGGGACATGGATTTATCTCAGTAACATCATGGAAAGAGACCATTACGGTGGCCTTGGAGTTCTTGTCTGGGGAGGCTTTATGCTGAACGGGCGGACAGAGCTCCATGGTTTCGACAGAGGTTCTGTAACCGGACATTGCTATCGTCAAGAGGTGATCCTTCACCATGTGCGTCTGTTCCAATGTGTCATTTATTTTTATGGATGACAATTCACGGCCACACGGGACTTCTGCTGTTCAGAAGCTAGTGGGAAGTGAAGATATCACTCAAATGGTTTGGCCAGCGTACTCCCCTGATTTAAATCCCATACAACATGTGTGGAATGCTTTGGAGAGAATGCTTGTGTGGAATGCTAAGTGCCATACTTATATTATTTCACTACTTCAAAAATATAATTAATTTCATTTATTTATTTATATTTAAGTATTATTAAAGTATTACCTCTTCTTCAGATGACAAATCCGCATCTTTAGATCTGAAATGAAAAAAAAAAAAAAAAAGTTATATATATATGTTCATAATCACAAAGATGCAGAATAAAATTATAACTAATACTATGACAAATTTTAACTATATGCTTACTTTTTAATTTGATCAGTCTGACTACTAACAGATGCACCATTTGCCTAAAAAAAATAATTTTTACATTTTTCAATACAAAGCTTATTTTACCTAATATAAGCAAATCGTTCATAACATTTTGGTAGCACAACCACTTTAGTGTACTTTGGCAATATTTTATAGATGAAGAAGAACAACCTGTAACTGCAAACACTTATTACATAGAGAATTATCATCATACAAATAATTTACATTTTCATTCGATATTCTCCAAAAAATCAAATCAGTAAACCTACATGCAAATCAGTTTTTCTTTTGTTGTGATCACTGTAAGCATAACTTCAAAGCAATTCGTCCCTTTAGTGATTTTATGGGAAAATACTGTATCTCTGCAGAAATGTTCCTGCAATTTCTTCCATTGCTAGCAAAATCCATAACTGCATATTTTAACACCGACCATTTGCGGTTAAACAGCATATTCACGTCCGACCGGCCACTCAGCCACAGATTCTCCCTGTCCTGAATAACTGTCAGGACAATCTCATAATTCATCTAACTAAAAGTCTCCAGTACCATTTTTTTTCACTCATCGTTAATGGTAAATTTTTAAAAAATGGTGTGAAAATGTGGAAGTTTACGAAGCAATGCACTTAACGCAAGTGAGCAATGTACTCTGCTAAAAAAAAAAAGGACAGTGCTATATCTTCTGTTCTACTGGGCTGGTTGACAAAATTCAAACTGCATTTTTCCTGCCTCGAAAGCGGGACTTAAGATATATATTAAATTTATATATAGCACTATTCTAACATACGTATTTTGACACAAAATCGGACTTTTTCTGAAATAACAAACTAATTTTTCCATATTTCGATTCTACGACTCAAATTATGGCAGAACACCAAGTTTTGTAAAAATCATACGAGTAGTTTTTAAAATATTAGCTCCTCAATGTTAATAGAATTTGGCAAATATTTATTAATATCTCTTCTTTCTTTTTTTATTAAACTTTTATTATTTTTCCTTTCACATTTCGAAATTTAGTTTCATTCCAAATACAATTTACCAATTTTTTGTGTGTTTATTTTTTAAATTTCTATTTCTATTTTTAAATAATTTTTTTTATAAATTTTTTCAAAACAATTTTGAATTATAACCTATAAAATTTTTATCATCATCTTAAAGTAGGTGTATTTCTAAGCATACCTGCAAAAAATTAGAATTTTTTATTCAAAATTTACAAAGATATACACGAATTTACATAGTTTTGCGTTTTGAAATTTGGCATCTTTTTTTTTTTTTTTTTTTTGAGCGATAATAACGCCAAATGTGGCTTATGGATTTTTGTTACAGTGAATTGCCACAGCTATTTTTAACCTTAAATTTCAAGTAAAATTTTACGGAGAATTAACTATATAAATTTTTTTCCCTCAATGATGCCTAATAAATATTTATTAACACTATATGAAAAGCTATTTTTTTTAAATTATAGATGATATTAAAATTTTTTAAACTTTTTTTTTTTTTTTTTTAATTTCTCTCTTTCTTCCTTTTTTTAAAAAATTATTTGTAAGAGTAAATTTTTATCTTTACTTTATCTTTACGTCTGCTACTTTACTTTAACTTCGTTTAAATCGAGTTGTCTAAAAATGAGAACTTTCGTTTAATGTTTATTTGAAATTTACGAAAATATTTTATTACATTAACTGCATAATTTATTTCTAAACAAGCTGTTGCTTATGTTATGAAGTGGCTGAAAGAGCGACTGATACTATCATCCATATTTTTAAAGCACAGTATATTTTTATAGAAACATAAGATTAAGAATAATCATTTTTATAAGAGTCAAATTATGATATAAACATACAACCCTCTAGAGACCGAATTAATGGAAGTTCAATGGTTATGTAGAAATGATCTGCAGCTACTTAATGGCTGGATAAGTCAGCAGGTTCTGTGGACAAGTAAGAATAATTATATAAATGACACCCAAATTATGGATTCAATTAACAACGAGGGTATGATGTTTATTAAATGAATTTAAGAAGTTTTTACACATAAAAAATCAACTCATTTTTTATCCTAAAATGTATTTTTATGCATAGCGTATTTTCATTATATCCTTAAAATTCTAATTTAGAATTTAACTATCAAGAACTGAATTCTAATCATCAGTAATATAATAAGTAATTATTACGGTTATTAATAAATCCTTATAAAGTAATTGCAAATATTTCAAAAAACTTTCTGTCTGAATGCAAATATATCTAATTTTATATTAATCAAGACTGCACACAATATTATTTATTTGCACTTTAATTCTTACCATCAGCACTAGTAGAAATTACAAATCAATTATATTTAATAAAGGAATGACCATCTAAGTTTAGAAACAGTGTATTGTAACAACAATTTAATTATTGGCGCTGTATCTTTCATGTTACTCCCGATTGACAAGCTATATGATTTTTGATGAATATTCGGGTTTTGCTAGTAACTTCACTTGGAAATTGTGCTTAAACTAGGTTAGTTGGTATTTGAACATAGAAAGAACATGGGAGCTATTTGGTTAAGATGCTTTCATAGATAACCTTTGTAAAGAGAACGTAGAAAACTATGAAAATCAACCATGCATCACCTGGGATAGACTTCGCAACAAACAATTAGTATTTAACAATCTTCAAATGCTAGGCAACTGACGAGGCTCCAATTAAATATTTTATTTGTAAATATTTAAAATATTGTTGTATTCTTAGACATGAAGAGCAGAATTTAAGTTTTGTTAACTCGTTAGTAAACTATCAAGCCATAGTGCAAATGAATATTCAATTTCTTTTGCAATAATTGTATTCACTTAATATTCTTCGAACATGAGCTAAAGAAGAAACGTTCTCGGAAGATTAAAGAAGTGTTTAAATCCCGTGATATTAGGTTTGACTTACAAGCTCAAAATCAAAACGATTTTGCAATTGCCCGAGTAGTTGACTTGTAAATGGCTGTGAATTAAGCAGATGACTTTTAATCTTACGTTATTTAAGCAGAAAACGTAATCCAAATGTTTTGTATTGCATGACACTGCATCTTTTCATTATTCAATAACCAATCGGAGAACCACTTGTATTCAGAAATAAGTATGTGTCCTCAATCGTCCTGCATGTTCTTCAAATTTGTCTTCTTGTGATTTTTTTTTTTTTTTTTTTTTTTTTTTCCCCAAAACTAAAGTTGCCTCTCAAAGGAAAGTTTTTTGCCATTGAAGAGACAAAAGGAAATAATAAAAAGGAGTATAACATCGACTTTTAGAGGCATGTCAAAAACAGATCTCTACAAGCCTTCTCTTCCATTACATGTTGTGCATTCAGACAAAAAGTTGGATCAGCGTAAATTCTATAATATATTTTTATTACACACTGATTACTTTATAAACATACAGTAAATATATACTAAACCTTTTACTTCAGCTTCAGTAATTCGGAATTTTTGACGTAATTGTTGTCGGAACTAGGACTGAAATGATAAGTCAAATTGAATATTTCGATAATCCAATAAATTCAAGGTCGAAGTTTCAATATTTTATTTTTGGAGGGAGGGGAAATTTTTTCAGTTTTGGTCCATTATCTTAAGTATATTTGCTTCGATTCTTTATTTTTCCATAAAAGCGAAAATCTTACGCATGATATACATATAACTCATAGCTTCAAATTAAAATTTAATACTATACAGGGTGGTTATAATTAAAGTTTCACTTTGAAACGGTCATAAAAGGAAAACTACTGGATCAAATGTTATCAAACTTTGTAACTATGTAAAGGCGGTCATGGGAATTTATTTTCCGCGAAAAAAAAGAAAGTTCGAAACCTCACCACCAGGGGAGAAATGGCGCTGTACACAATATTGTTAAATGAAATATGGGTCAGAATCTAACTTAACCTTTTGTTACACGGGTTTAATATGTTGTATACCCTTAAGAAACTTTGAAGTGAGCAAATTACCATTTAATGGTGTTAAATTCGATAAAACTCCAGTGCGCCATCCATGTAAGGGAGAAATTCGTCCATGAAAACCACGAATTAGCGATTAGAAAATGTGAGATCGCAAATCACTCGCACAAGTGAGTACAATCTGGAAATCGTTTCTTACAGATCGCTAATTTGTAATTTTTGAAGCCTGAATTCGGTCCTAAAACATGATACTGATTCAAAATGCTTTTAATCGATTTGGGCCAAAGAAATCCCTCATGTTATCTACCTAGTTCCATTGCATTCTCCAACTGCATTCGATTGCATAACAGTCATTCCACACCGTTTGGTAGACCCAGCTTTAAAAATATATATATAAATATAAATTTTTATATTAATCCTCTTAGAAAGAATGTTTTAAGAAGCTAATTTTTCTCTCGCATTATAGATTATATAAAAAAGCATGGTATATTTAATATGATTTAGATTGTTTTCAGTCGATATAAGAATTGGGTCCCTCGGTAGTATAGAATAAACACTGCTGAACTGTTTTATTTCTTTGTCATTTAGCAAAAATCTTTTAATTAAAATATTTATCCTTTGGACTTCGCTTTAAACTTTAATTATAGTTAAAATGACTAGAAAATGAAAAGCTGTCTTCAGCTGAAACGCAATTTATGTAATTGATATTTTTAAAAAAATTGACTAGAATGCAAAATTTATGGAAGTCTAGCAATAGAAAAATCTTAATTTTCTTGTGTGAGCACTGAAAATAACTGTAGAAGGAAAGAAGAAAATTAGGGAGAAAAGTAAGCAAAAATTTGCAGGGAAATTTGGCTGTCAGACATACCAAGGTGTTTAAAAAAGTTGGACGCTTTTGAAGACACTTTCAGGATACTTCAAAGAATTTAGGTGTTCAAAGAGAAAACACTTGGACATGTACACCTGCAAATACCATCAATTGAGCTTGTGTTAACAGAAAAGACAAAAACGATATCATTGCAGATTAAAGTGAAAAGCGACTGGTTTTAGACTATATGGTTGTATAAATTTAAATTACATTATAGAACATCATATCGTATCATAAACGGAGAATCCCATGATTTCTCAGT